AAAAATATAATAATGTATTTTAATTTATATCCTTATGGTATATGACAAAGGATTCAATATTGTTTCGTGCGCATCTAACAAATATTTAGTTGATCTAACACCAAAAACTAATTTAATTGATTATCAAAGTATCGCTTGTGTCCTGATAAACGTTTTAGAAGAAAGATCATACAGATTCGAAGTTTGATGCTCTGTTTCTGCAATTCACATACACATGTTAGGGAAGTCTCTAACTTTGAAATCTGCAAACCGGTTCCCATAACAGCTTTGCTTGCACTGGGTAAATTATCTGCTAGGGACAAATTCGGCATACAATTGTTTTTAATTTTTAAATATTTAGGATCAGTTTACTTAAGTTCGAAGCTTTTCATTCTCTCAACGAATCTTTAATCCCCAAACTAATGCCTCGTTATATGATTAAACATGTAACACCTTTTTAAGTCTATTTTCTGATCTTCTATTAAAGAATTCAAAGGACAATGACCTTTTTGTAAGTAAATGGAAACTTGATTGTTAAGTCAAGAAAAGTTAAAATTCTAACTGTGTTAACCGTTGAATCTAAGCGTATATTTTTTAATTTACAAAGTTAGAAAACGAAAAAGAGCAATAACAAGACAAGTGCTTGTGACCTTACGCGCACAAGCTATCATCCAATGCACTCATCAGGTTTGAAAATGATTTGTAAAATCATTTTTTTTAGAGTAATGATGGAGGGGATGAAATTGAGAGACGATTTTGAGGGATGACAAGTTATGCAAAGATTAAATTAGTAATTGAATATGAATTCTTCCATCACTTGTCGTCCTCTAAAATCATCTCTGATTTCGTCCCCTCTATCATTACTTTTTCTTTATAAACTTTTCTTTGGATTTGTGGGTAATAATATTTAATTAATAAAAAAAAAATGTCAAGATCAAGACTACCGGCCCTACCGGGTCCAGACGAAACGAAATGTTGTCTGAAATTTACTACCCGTGTCCATCGTTCGATTCAAGGACTATCACTAAAAAATTTCCCCCTTTTGAAAAGAATGGTTTCTCAACCCAAGCGTGTGTTGACTGTTTCCATTTACACCTGCACTTATTTTCTCACCCAATCCTTTCTTATTTATTTATATGTCCCTTGTTTTCTCACCCCCTCGTACCTCCACCCAAATCAAACATCCCCTTCGGAACACCCCCAATACCGCCACCGAAACCAAACTTCCGCTTCATAAAGTCAACCCAGTTTATTCTTTCGATTTCGACAATGGCAGAAACACTGACCGAAGATCAAGTTGCTGAGTTCCGGGAAGCCTTTTGTCTGATTGACAAGGACTCCGATGGTATGTTATGTGTTCTTTTCTCCCAGATGACATCAATTATCATCATCTTTGAATATTTTCTAAAAAAAACTGTCTGGCTATAAATGTTTATATCTTTAGGCTGCATTACTTTGGAGGAATTGGCGTTGATGATCCAATCTTTAGATGGAAACCCCACAAAAGAAGAAGTTCAGGACATGATCAGTGAGGTTGATGCTGATGAAAGTGGCACCATTGATTTTGAAGAGTTCTTGAATATCATGACTAGGAAAACGAAGGTACCTTTTTTTTTTTTTTGGGACATCCATTTTCCTAACTTGCCTTCTTTCAAAAAAAATTTTCAAAAAAAAAAAAAAGTTTGATGCAGCCATTTTTTTATTTTTTATCTTTTTCAGGAAAATGTTGCTGATGAGATAAAAGAAGCTTTCAAAGTTTTTGACAGAGATCAAGATGGATTTATATCATCAACTGAGGTAAAGTAGTGAAATTGTTTCAAAATCTTTTATTTAAAGAGAGTACAAGTGGAACAGAAAAATGTACACTTTACAGCATTTCTTTTTTTATTGAGGTATTCATTCCTGTTTATTTTGGGGTGCAGTTGAGACAAGTGATGATAAATCTGGGGGAGAGATTGTCAATGGAAGAAGCAGAGCAGATGATCAGAGAAGCCGATTTAGATGGAGATGGACTGGTCAGCTATGAGGAATTTGCCAGGATGATGATGGCTTTCCAATAGAAATGGAAAAAAAAAAAAAAAAATCAGAAATTGTACCAATGTTTGTCGGATTTTTCCTTACAATTGACATACGATTTGTTTCGGTGATGTCCAATCAGATAAAGTATGTATGTGCTCATGCTAGAAGCAGTACTGGAAACTGTTAAGGGAAAAAGAATAAAGGTTATGTACAGTAACTGAGTTCTGCTTTTTCCTATTATTATGTTGTTTTTTTTTGCTATTATTATGTTGTTCTTTTTTGCATCAATTTCAACTTCGAATTCAAGCAAACTATACCAATTGAATAAGATTCAAACCATGACTAGAGAATTGAGACTGTGTTTTAGTTTGACCGTCATATTATTCTTTTGTTGTTGTACCTAATCTCATTTCTTCACTTATGGGTTGGAATTAAGTTTTAAATGATATCAAAATGTTAAACGTGGAGAGATTGAATAAGGGAAATCAAAATTATAATTATAACAAGATTCAATTTGGATCCTCTCTCAACCATGGTGTGCAAAAAAAATTTCGTGGGTTAGTTTACAGGTAGTTGTCATATAGAACAAAAGAGATCTTATAGTGAAAGAATAAAAGAGAATTGTTTGTTATTACGTAATGTAAAATAAAAAATAAATATAAAATTTAAATTTATTTGAGTCAACACTTCAGGTAAAGTCTTTAAAAAAAAGAATTATACAAAATAAGTGTGACAACTTGAGTTTAGCTAGTTGTTAGCTAAGGATAGATGATTTGAACTATTATAAAAATAATAATAATAAAGGTGTTTGAATGGATTTTTCCATAAGATGAGGGATTCGTTTGGAGAGTTTATAAGTAACACTTCTTTATCTCTAAAATTCAAAAGGAAAAACTATTATATAGTTTGGTCTGAATTAAATTGTATAATAAGAACTGTTTATAAGAGAGGAAAAACTATTATATAGTTTGGTCTGAATTAAATTGTATAATAGGAACTGTTTATAAGAGAGGAAAAACTGTTATATAGTTTGGTCTGAATTAAATTGTATAAT